TGATTCGATAACAACTTTTAAGAGAGAAGTAGATAATTATTTGAGGAGGGCAAGTTTGCAGGGCTATGAGGAGAGTGCGGGGGAGTGGGGTTGATTTGGGTAGCTCTTTTCATAGACACGATACGCTGAATGGCCTCCGTCTGTGCTGTATAATTTGATGATACTATGAACACACAAACAGACACACATTTCGTCTTTACCTATACTCAGCTGGAGGACTCCTGTGGGAGGACTATTTTAATATACTTTCTCTCTCAGTCTCTCCCAATTTCTCTCTCTTTCAATCTCTCTCATTATCTCAGTCGCTCTATCTCTCTCTCACAGTCTGTCTCTCTCTGTCTTTCTCTGTCTCTCACACAAAACACACAGTCACTACACTTTATAATATATTCTCTCTCAGTCTCTTTTTCTGTGTCTCTCTCAGTCTCTCTCTCTGCACCTCTCTGTCTCTCACGATTTCAGTCTCTCCTTTAGTCTGCCCCACATGGGAGGACACGAGCTCCCATGACAACCAGAAAAAGTGCCATACAGTTATTGCAGAATATAGTTGTATCTCTCTGAAAAGTGTGTGCTTTCCTCTGTCGCTACGAAGTTGCAGAATACAATGTATATCTAATACTTTGGGGCTTAATTAAAGAATTTTGTTTAATATAGCTAGCTCAACAATGATAGGAGACCCTCCCAAAAAAATACGCCCGTGACACTGTAAGTTGCAAGACCTTTCCGACGAGGTATAAATCATGTCTCTACGTCAATCGGTTATCGTGTTTGGCAGATTATGCGTTCCTGTAGCTCAGTTAGAGCACTCACCTTGCAAGCGAGAGACTTGGGTTTATTCCCTGCAAGGTGAAGCCTTGATCAAGTTTCCTTACTCCACACACCTAATAATAATTTCTCAACAAAAATAAATAAATAAAATGAATAATTTGGTCAATCAATCCACTGTGGGATACTGCTGTGCGCAATTGGATGCTGCGCTTTTCCCACAAATATACAGTCAATTCACTTTATAGTATATTCTTTGAAGTGCTTTGAGATGTCTAGAAGACGTGAAAAGCACTATATCAAATGAAAGGTTTATTTTTATTTATTATTATATACAAGATAGATACACAGACACACCATCTTTATTAGTATATATTAGCCATTTAAAAAAGGCTTCACATTTAATTGCTGGATGTTAACACAAGCATTTGACAGTGTCTAGCAGATGTTCCATAGTAACAGTGCAATTTGAATTGAGAGGGCATTTAAGGAGCTGTGGAGGGAAGCTGCGACCTGATACGTTTATTTTAAGCAGCGCTTGTGGCATCAACAAGGCAATTGTTTTCTTTGTACTGCAGTGATAGACCCAGAAGTGGGTCTTTGACTGTGGTTTCTGGCCCTGGGTTCATCTCTATGATACCCCTTCAATATCGATCAACGGCAGAGGACCCAAATCAGTATGGTTCTGCAATCAGGCGGAAAAACACACAGCTACAATATTTGGTTGTGAAGTGAACCTCTCCTTGGCTTGTATGAATTAATTCAATTCCTGGTCAACTCCAGTATCATCTCAGCCCTGCAATCATTATATAGAAGTGCAGCAATCCTGCACCTTGCAGTAACACTGCAACCCTGCAGTAATACTCTACTTAAAGCTCAATACCAGAGAGCAAGTGGGCTCACCTTTAATGTCACATAGCTCTGATTTTATCTCCAGAACCAAAGAAGCTGCAATTTCAGTCAGCATTTTACAGATAAAATGATTGTATCTAAATGCAGCTTGCCAGATCCCTAAGGTTGGAAATACTTTCCAGATCCTCTGCTTCTTGTAGTTGGCTCCTAACAGGTCTCAAATCTCAGCAGGTGTTTAGACTATTGATGAACTGTTTTGTGCCATGTTCATGTAAAGTGTGAAATTGGCTGAGGTCAAAGTGGATTAAGACACGTTTTGATGCAGTTTTGTTAATACTGAACTGCCTGTGTGAAGGACACTACAGAAGAGTATTCTTGCTGATACTCATTGAGAGCTGTAACCTCACAGCCTTTGTGCAAAAACATCAAATTACATTTACACAATGCCTTTCATGTTGGGAGGACGTTCCAAGGCACTGGAAAGTTAAGAATTTGTACCCGAGTTGAGGGTTGTGATCAGGAGGTGCAGAGGGCAGGGAGGATGGGGGTTGGAGGGTGACAACAATAACTTGCATTTATATAGCACGCTTCACATGGGGTAGCATTCCAGAGCACGTAACAGTGATGGAGTCTGACCACGAGCTGGGGGAGAGGGAGGGGGGAGGTGACTGTAAGCACAATCAAAAAGGAAGAGCTTTAGGCAGGATTTGAAAGTGGAGGGGCAAGGTGAAAGGATTGGGGGAGAGTTCCAGATCTTCAGGGCATAGTAACTGAAAGCATGGCCGCCGATGATGGAGTGGAGGGCGCGACGGACGAACAGGAGGCAGGAGCCAGCCAAGCAGAGGCAGCGGATGTGGAGTGGTGAGCAAGTCGGAAAGGTAAGGAGGTGCGAGGGCATGAAGGGATTTGAAAACGAGAGGATCTTGAAATCGATCCATTCGGAAATTGGGAGGCAGTGCAGCCTGGGGGTCCAGAGTTTTGTGCGGGTTATTATCAGACAACGGAGTTCTGAATTAATTGTATTTTGTGTATGGTGGAACTGGAGAGGCCAGCACAGTGGGCATTTAAAAAGTCCAGCTGGTAAGTGACAAACGCATGGACGAGGATTTCGTCAGCTGTGGGTGAGGTACGGAAATTGTTGGCGGTTAGTTAAGTATGACTCAAACCATGTGAGTGCAGTCCCACTAAGGTGGATGAGGGAGTACAGGCTGTGGAGGATGGTGTGAACGACTGTGCCAAACGTGGTGGAGAGGTCGAGGAGAATGAGGAGGCAGAGGGGGAGCCTTGGTCAAAGAGAAAGGACGTCATTTGTAACTTTGACGAGCACTGTCTCTGTGCCGTGGCCAGGGCGAAATCCAGACTGGACCGGTTCGAGGAGGGAGTAGTGGGAGAGGTGTGAACAAAGTTGATTGGCAATCACGTGTTCCAAAACTTTAGCCGGGATGGGCAGGTTTGGGATTGATCTAAAATTTGTGAGGTTGGAAGAATCGGGGGTGGGTTTTTTGAGAAGGCTAATGACAGCAGTTTTAAGGGGGAGTGCAATAGAACCTGAGGAGAGGGAGTAGTTGATTGTGTCAGCCAGTATTGGGCAGAGGAGGGGGAATTGCATGATCAGAAATTGGGTGGGGTGGAGGATCGAGGCAGAAAATGGTGGGCTTTACTTTGGTGATGGTGGGGGAAAGGGAGACAGGAGAGATGGGGGGAAAATGAGATAAGTGTGTGTGCCATGGTAGGAGAGGGTGGTGAAGGAGGTATGGGTGGGGTGGTAGGCATCAAGGGGGAGGGGTGTGGCGGAGGAGGCAGCCAGATGGATATTGTCGATTTTGGTGATTAAAAAAAAGTCCAGGACCTCTTTGCCCTCAGCGTCTGAGGTGAGGATCGGCGGTGCTTGAGAGGGGTTGTGGAGGAGGGAGTGGGGCCGAAGGAGGAGGGTCTTGAGTCGGGCCTTGAAGGAGGCAAGAGAGGTGGGCCAGTCAATAATCTCCTTATTCGACATTCTCTGGCCACCTCTGCTCTTGTACTATTTTTTCTATGTGTCTTTGATAAATTATTTAATTTTAAAGTACAAAATAATGAAAAGCACAGAATTGAAAACTTTTTTATTAATAGGAAAATTCAACTTTAATAGAAAATATGCATCGATCAGCTTTTGAAGCTTTCAAGTCAACCTCACTTTTCTCAAATAAATACTTGGAACTCTGGGCCAGACCTTTTCAAATTAAAGCTGACACCAAAAATGTTAAGAAACAATTTCATGCTTCTTGCTTTTGATAAGCAACTCTGCTACATGAGTTTCTATCTGTATGAGTCAAGTTTGCAATCGCAAAGGAATCCTTTTCCCATCATCTTGACAGATTGGCTTCCACACAAAGCTGGGTTTAGACACTGATGATCATCTGAGAAAGATGTTATTAATTTTGTTTATCAAATGGAGATCTATTGCTTTTTTTGTTCCAGTTTCCCTCTTAATGAATGTTGACTCACGCTGGGCTCCAGTATCTGGCCCAAATAATCATTCTTCGTGAATCTGTCTAGACAACAACATGATACCCAACATGTGGGATCTGGTTGAGGTGATGAAATGGTTCAGCTAATCTAAGCCTACTCTTCTCTCAGTAAATGGCTACACTAGCAAAACAACTGTTTAAACTACAAAATACATCACAAGTCAATGTATTACAAATAATGTGAAGGAAAAATACATGTGTGATAGGAACTTTGGAAGAAAAACAAAAATTAGGAGCAAAGTGTTGAGTAAATTATGTATGTAGAAATGCAGATTGTTCCAAGGAAAGAAATAACATTTAGCCAGACTGAGAAATGCAAGAAATGAGATATGTTAACTGTCATTCCTTGGTGTGCTTCGCAACCATATCACTCCCACCCTCGCTCGCCTCCACTGCTCCCCATCCCCCAGAGGATCGAATTCAAGATCCTCATCCTCGCCTACAAGGCCATTCACGGCCTCGCTCCCTCCTACCTCTCCGACCTACTATCCCCCTACTTACCTGCCCGTACCCTCCGTTCCTCTGGCTCCGGTCTGCTCCACATCCCCCGTCCCAACCGCCCTATCATCGGTGGCCGGGCCTTCAGCCTCTCAGCCCCGAGGCTCTGGAACTCCATCCCCAGTGCCTTCGCCGCTTCCTCCCTTTCCTCCTTCAAGGCCGGTCTCAAGACCTTTCTCTTCGACAGTGCCTTCAGCTTCCTTCTCGACTCTCTACCCCCTCCTCGCTCCCTCCCTTCCCTCCCCTCCCCCTGACCACTTCCCCCCTGCTCAGGTCCCGACCCAACTGTCCAGCGCCTTGGGACGTCCTGCCGACATGAAAGGCAATCTATAAATGCAATCTTCTTGTTGTTGTTGTAATATCAGATTAGAAAAATGATTATCAGAACAAAGTGCTTTATTTAGCAAGATTAGCTAATTGTATCACAGTGCCACCACCACAGGACAATCTGTATACATCGCAGTGTCAAACAATAAGCTGTCATTTCAAGTATTTACCAAGCAAATGTGTGTGATAATGACAAGATAAACACTCCAGAGATCAGCAACAACATGCAAACCTTCCAATATGTCCAAACACTATATCATCTTTGGCTGAATACACCAAAATATTCAAACAGTAAATTGCATCTAGCTGCAGCCAGTAGCAGATGTGAACAAGTTTCAAAATTACAATATCATCCTCGAACCCAGGCTGATTCAAAGCTAATATGGGCTAATAGATATCACTACTGGCTGCCAGTCGATTTGGATGCAGCAAACAGGTGCCAGCAGTAAATGGTTTATCTGATTTAAAAGGGCTTTTTTTTGTTTCTTTTACTTCACTTCCTCAGTTTCAAGGTCACTTCTTCCATCTCGCTCCTGGAAATATTTTCTCTGTTCCTGTATGGCTCGCTCCAAAAGTGGCAGGTTAATCCCGTCTACACACATCAGCAACCTAGCCTGAATCACGGGAATGTTGCCTGAAAATAAAACCACAGAATTCATATCAATACAAAGGCAGAATATAAATACAGAAAGAGAGGATGTAGAACTAATGAAACATGTGGGAGCCTCTTTCATTATCTGCTTTTGGTTTACATCCATTTCACAGATGTTATATGATCCTAAAGCTATAGGATTCATAATAAGACCATTTGACAATACCTCAACACGGTACTGGGGAACAAGTTCCAAATTGTATTTATTTCCATGTCCCTCAATTCCAAACTTTCTACAGATACTAGTAATAAGAAACCAACAACAAAATTACATGTGTAATGCCTTTCACGTCAGGAGGATGTCCTAAGGCACTGGACAGTCAGTGTTTCAGACCTGAGCTGGGGGTTGGGATTGGGGAGGGTGGAGGGCAGGGGTTGAGAAGCAGGGTGATTTGATAGCATGGTTGAAGAGGAGAGTCTTGACATGGGGTTTGAAGGAGGCAAGCAAGAGGGCGAGGCAGAGGGACTGTGGGATGGAGGTCCAGAGGGTGGGAGCAGAGTGGCAGAAGGCAGAGGACGTGAAACAGGCCGGAGCCCGCTGATTGGTAAGGGGTTAGGAGATTGCAGAAGGGGGAGCAAGGCCATGGAGGGCTTTGAAGGCGAGGACCAGGATCTTGAACTGTATTCTCTTGTGTGATGGGAAGCCAGTGGAATCGGGCAAGGATGGGGGTGATAGGGTCACGGAGCCTGGTGCAGGGGAGGACACGGGCTGCAGAGTTCTGGATGATCTGCAGTCTATAGAGGGAGGACTTGGGAAGGCCAACAAGCAGGAAGTTTGCATAGTTGAGCCTGGATGTTATGAGTACATGCATGAAGGTCTCGGGGGCCTGCGGTGTGAGACAGTGGCGGAGCCAGGCGATGTTGCAGAGGTGGGGAAGGCAAAGCAGGTCATGACACAGATGTGGGGTAGAAAGGATAGTTGAGGGTCAAACAAGATGCCAAGGTTCTGGACTGGCTCAGTAATAATAATAACAATAATAATCCTTGCATTTGATATAGCACCTTTCACGTCTTCTAGACGTCCCAAAGCGCTTCACAGAATATACTGTAAAGTGAATTGACTGTATATATTTGTGGGCGAAACGTGGCAGCCAATTGCGCAAAGCAATGTCCCACAAACAGTCGTGGATTGAGTGACCAATTTATTGTTTTGTTTTGGAGGGATTATTATTAGGCTCTGTGTGGAGTAAGGAAACTTGCCCAAGGTTTCGCCCTCTGCCTGGAACTGAACTCAGGTCTATCGCTTGCAAAGCGAGTGCTCTAACCACTGAGCTACAGGACTCCGTCTGTCAGATGCTGTCAGCGCCTGAGGTGAGGAGGATAGTTGAGGGTCAAACCAGATAGTGGGAGAACTGGAATGGATAAATGAAATATATGGGCCAGCAGGCGGAGCTGGGAATTAGCAGAGGAAGCATGGTGATGATAAGGCCTTGGGATCCCAGTTGTGACTGACCTCTATTCCCTGAAACGTGGCATGACTTATTATACCACTTACACATAAGCACTGGTATCCATTCAAATTAAAGTTGCAAATACTCAGCACTCAACTAAGTCAAATTCCATCTCAAAACAAGATAGCTGCAGAATTTGGAAAACTTTGATTTCCCTCATTTCCATCAGATGTATTATTTGTCTTGTTCTGGACTGGCACACTTACACACACCTTCAGTAGCTTCGATCTCTCCGAGTACCATGTAGTCTGATCCGAGATGGGCTTCGAATGGCTCCACTAGTGCAGTGTATACAGCGAGCTGATAAAGTGTCGAGTTGTGATGCATGATGAGGATGGCCTCAGATATCCTGGCATGGTAGCTGGATAACCTGGAACAAACAAGATTACAAACAAGGTTTCAAGTGGAGAAGGTTGCCTCCAAGAGGTGCAGCACTTTCTTGCTACAGTATCTGTAACACTAAAACAAAGCATGTGACAGGGAATTGCTGTCAATTGTCACTGTGTATTTTTAGGGAACACGGCAGAAAATATACTCCCCAAGGCCCCTAAAACAGTCATTGAAGTGAATGAACCTATTTATCTGGGAGATTGTTGTCCAGGACAATGAAGAAGTGTAGTCCTGTAGCTCAGTGGTTAGAGCACTCGCTTTGCAAGCGAGAGACCTGAGTTCAATTCCAGGCAGAGGGCGAAACCTTGGGCAAGTTTCCTTACTCCACACAGAGCCTAATAATATTCCCTCCAAAACCAAAAACAATAATAAATTGGTCATTTTCAATCTACGACTGTTTGTGGGACATTGCTGTGCGCAATTGGCTGCCGCGTTCGCCCACAAATATACAGTCAATTCACTTTACAGTGTGTTCTGTGAAGCGCTTTGGGACGTCCTCCCGACGCAAAAAGCGCTATATCAAATGAAGGATTATTATTATTATTATTAAGAAATTACCTTCTAATGTCAATTAGTGCCATACTGTCTCTAACATCCACCTGAAAAGTGAAAAGCACGTCCTGCACTGTGAACTGGAAGTTCAGATGATGCACAATTATGGAGTAATGCCGAAAGGGGAAGAGTGAAATACACAGCATCTTATTGAAAAGTTAGACAATTATCCCTTCAAAATGTTTTTAAAAAATAATTTGGTCACTACAACCCACTGCTGTCTGTGGGACGCTGCTCTGTGCAATTGGCTGCTGCATTTCGCCCACAAAATACAGTCACTACACTTTACTGTTTTGTGAAGCAGTAGCGATAAGGCGCGACATCAAATCCAAGGATTATTACTATGTATTATAGTGAATGTCAGTGAGGCTGAAGCCGCCACTCGCGGCTCACCGACTGCCGCCGTCAACAGTCACTGTAATAAATGATATTGATGTGTGGGGCACCGGGGGATGTGGGGCCGCGGCTGCCGCCGGGCCTCTCCCGGGGCCTCTCCCGCTCACCTGCCCACGGTTCTGATCGTTTTTCCCTCTGTCCCTGCGGATGAACAAACCTCCCACAGCAGCTGGAAGTCCCCGGGCCGCGGCAGCATCTCTCCCCGGGCCCCGCGCGGCTGTGGCCGGGCAGTCAGAGGACAGTGAGGCTGAGAGCGGCTCACGGAGCGGCGCCTCCCGCCCTCGCGCCGACCGTTACAGTTTGAATCTCAGGCTCGCGCCGCTGGGTCACGGTTGGGGCGGTCGCCATGGCAACCCCCTCCCCCGCAGGCCCGGCCCGAGCCTCGGCCTCTGATTCCCGCTGCTCCCCCACGAGGTCAGTCCTGATGTTGGAGAGCAACCAACCGCCAGGACAGGGACACAACCTACAGGAAACCGGTGAGAAAATAAACAGTTAAACTGCCGATTATTATTGATATGGAGGGACTCCGGTTAGTCATTGCGTTGCATTACAGAGAGGATCTTTTATTCCTAACCCTCATGGCAAAGTTGGTAGTAATTACTGCCAAACCCACTAAACATGACGATCATTTCAGGAGCGCGGCCCACGCCTGGCCCTGAAGTGAATGACCAATTTATCTGGAGATTGCTCTAATCACAGTTACACTGGCGTCCTGTAGCTCAGTGGTTAAAGCACTCGCCTCACAAGCCAGAGACGTTGGGCAAGTTTCCTCACCACACGCCTGATAATAATCCCTCAAGAAAAGAAAAGCAATAATTGTTGGTCACTTCAATCCACGACTGTTTGTGGGACGCTGCTGTGCGCAATTGGCTGCCGCGTTTCACCCACAAAAATACACAGTCAATTCACTTTACAGTGTGAAGTGTTTTGAGACGTCTAGAAGACGTGATAAGGCGATGTATCAAATGCAACGACTATTATTATTATTGTTGGCCCGAAAAGGCAGACAAAAAAGAAGGCCCTTCAGCCCATTTGATCTCAACTTTCCAGTCATTAATTATCCTCTGGGTAAATAAATACTTCATGGTAACTGTCCTGAAATTGCCTTTTCCAATCTAAACCTATGTCCTTCTGTTCAACTGTCTTGGTACATCCGGAAGTACTTTATAATATGGGCTGGGAAAGGGTTGGAGGGATTCCCGCAGACCGTCCACCTTGCCCCCTCTTGTCCCCTTTTCAAGGCCGGCTTGAGAACCTTCCTCTTCGACCGTGCTGACAGCCACCTCCCCCTGCCGCACCCCCAGCTCCGCCACTGTTAAGCGCTGTGAGACACTACCTGGGTGGAGGTCGCTAATATAAGTGCAAGTTGTTGTGGAGGTTAACAAAACAACAACAACGTGGATTTATATAGCGCCCTCCACACCGGACGGCGTCTCAGAGCGCTTTACAGTAACAGATCCCAGGGCCGAGCCAGGGGGAGGGGGGGGAAGTGACCAAAGGCGCGGTCGAAAAGAAAGGTCTTCAGCAGGGACCTGAAAAGAGGAAGAGAGGGGGCGAGGCAAAGGGAGTGAGGAAGGGAGTTCCAGAGCCTCGGGGCATAGTGGCTGAAGGCATGGCCGCCGAGGGTAGAGCGGAGGACTTGGGGGACGAGGAGGAGGCCAGACCCGGAGGAACGAAGGCAACGGGTACTGTTTTGGGGAGAGAGGAGGTCAGAGAGGTCGGGGGGTGCAAAGGAGTGCAGGGACTTGAATACAAGGGTGAGGATCTTGAAATCGATCCTCTCTGGGATAGGCAGCCGGTGCAGTCTGGCCAGGACTGGGGTGATCGGGGAAAGTAGTTTGGTGCGAGTGAGAATGTGGGCGGTAGAGTTTTGGATAATTTGGATTTTATGGATGGTGGTGGAGGGGAGGCCGGCGAGGAGGGCGTTAGAGTAGTCCAGCCTAGAGGTGACAAAGGCATGGACTAGGGTTTCAGTGGACTTTGGGGAGAGGTATTTGCGGAGACTGGCAATGCATCGGAGATGGAAGAAAGTGGTGCTGGTGAGGGACCGGATGTGGGGGAGGAAGAACAATTGGCGGTCGAACCTGACGCCAAGGTTACGCACCGGTTCGGAGAGTTTTAGGGGGAGCTTGGGTAGGTGGAGAAGGTGAGAGCTGTGGGATTTGAGACATTGACGAGAGCCAAAGAGTATGGCTTCCGCCTTGTTGACGTTTAGTTGAAGGAAATTTGCGTTCATCCTGCCCCTGAGATCTGACAGGCAGGCTGACAGAACATCAGGGGACTGGGGGTCGCAAAGAGAGGTGAAAAAATAGAGTTGGGTGCCGTCCACGTACATGTGGAAATGTACCCCGTGTCTGTACCCTATAACTATCCATGAGGGACAGTGGGTCTTGTGAGGAGAAAACTAGGTTGAAAATGACTGGTTTGTAAACTGGAAGATTTATCCATCTGCTTATACTCTACATTCCTGTTTTTTTTTAGGAATTTAAGAATTATAACATTAAGAATTCATCACTCAAAGAACAAATAAGTTGTGTCCATAAAACATTTTCTTATAGAATGAGTGAAATAAACTAGAAATTGCTAATGGAGGGAAAAAAAAGTCTGATTTTAAATGGACCAGTGTGTTTTAATGAAAGGATTGGGGGACGGGAGTGAAGGAAATTTGATGAAACAGCTGCTGTTTGCATTGGCAGGCTTGACTCTATGACCGAGATTCTCCAGGCACAGCTGCTTACGACCTGTAAATGTGCCTTTTCACTTAAAAAGTCTCCAAATGTATGCTCCAGCTTCTCCGTGTGTAACCTGCTCATTTTTAACAAATTGCCCAGAATGGTAAGTTGTTAAAAAAAACTACTCATACATACAAGGGAATATTTAATTGAAGTGAAACATTTCACCTTATTGTTTTTTGTTAATCGTTAAGTTGAGCAAAGACTTTGGCATGGAATCTAGTCTTGCTATGACACTATGATATTAGTGTGTCCAGTGCTAACGTTGACTAAGTACTTCAAACTTTTATAAAATTGCTTTGCCTCTGCATGCCATTCACTCTCCCTTCCCTACTTATACTATGCTCTCTGTGGATGCTGTGTTTATTGCCCCAGAGGGTTGAAATGCTCTGCAGCTACCCAGTCAACCTCTGCAATTGCAGGGTTTCTCTTGTTACCGCGAGCCTGAAGCTGCCTATATCTACTGATTGGTTTGTTTTCCATTTCTGCAGCATTATAATTAATAATAATCCTTGCATTTGATACAGCGCCTTATCACATCTTCTAGGTGTCTCAAATCGCTTTGCACTGAGTAAAGACACAAAGGAATTTGCAGCAGTCACACAGTTTGAAAGATTTTCGATAGTAATTTGAAACTTTTAAATGACTAAATATGGAGTCCTGTAGTTCAGTGGTTAGAGCACTCGCCTCACAAGTGCGAGACCTGGGTTTGATTCCCGGCAGGGTGAAACCTTGGGCAAGTTTCCTCACTCCACATGCCTGATAATAATCCCTCAAGAAAAGAAAAACAAGTGGGGGCAGTGGGGCAGTGGGGGAAGCAGAGTGATCAAAAGCACAGTCGAAGTGTGTGCAGTAACCCGGTCAAAGGCAAGGTCAATGGTTAATGGAGTAGCTGATGGGAATGCGGCAGCCCCAGCGGGTGCTGGAGCAGGGGGAAGAAACGGTTACCACCACCGAAACCACCAGACCCCTTACTAGCCCGGAAAAATAATCCTTGGCCAGGGAATTTGGGGTTAGAATGAAGCTAGGTGACTGCCCAGCCACAGTTGAGCTTAGATGGGAGAATTTTGTGGAAAGACAGGGGGACGGGTTCGGTGAGGATGATCAAAAGTTGGTATTGCTCGCTTGTCTCGCGGATCCTTTGAAAAAACAGATCCCAAGGGGAACTGGCCACATGGCTGTGGAGGCGTTTCGCACAGTGCAAACAGCTTTGGGACTAGGAAGCAAGTGGGACTCCCATGAGCAATTTCACCTCATGAAACCCCTGCAAGCTTTGACGAGCGACTGGGGACGATTTACGCACATACCCAGGGAGACAACCCGGGTATGGGGACCAGACACAATAGTCAGGCGTACTGTACCCTATTTTTGAGAAAGCTATTACCGGCAATGGGAACCAGCATGGGTTTGGCTGTTAACAGGCATAATCCATGGGATGATAGCTTGGAAAAAGCTGAACAGGCATCAGAGCAGTTGGAAGGTAGTAGCAGTAGGGGACATGAGGAGGCAGAGTATGCGGGATTAACCTCGGAAGTAGAAGGGCCACCACAGTATGCCAATTACCGAGGTCGCGGGAATGGTCATGGACGCAGTAACGGGGCACGGACGCAGGCGCAGTCCATCCGGCAAGACGAGGCTAACCAGGATAAATGCTCTCAATGTGGGGGCAATGGGCATTGGTCTCCGGACTATCCCTCTTGACCGGGTCGGAGGACAGGTACTCAGAGCAGCCAGGGGCCATCGGCACCTCCTCTTCCCAATGTCCAGGAGGAGCGCCTCCTCCAGTGCTTAGCAGCTATGATTCAAACACAGGCAGCTGTGGCCAGGGAATCGAGATAGGGGGATCCTGTGACACATATACAGTGTCACAAAAAGATACTGCAGTTGGAGGAACAACTTAAATGTGAAAGAGAGATGTTAAGAAAAGCTAAACATGAATCTGAGAACTTTAACTCAGAACTAGATGAAGCAAGAAACGTGACTGATAGAATTAAACGTGAGAAAGATGAAGAAGTGGACAGACTTAAAGCATAAGTAGCAGCCTCAGTGGAGAAAGAAACTGAAGAAGTGCAGGAGAACAAAGGTGAAGGAGGCAAGGGAGGAAGCGAGGCGAAGGGACCGTGGAATGGAGTTCCAGAGTGTGGGGGCAGAGAGGCTGAAAGCCCAGCCACTAATGGTAGGGCAGGTCGGACGGGAGACATGGAGCAGGCCGGAGCCCGCTGAACGGCAGAAAGGTACTAAAGAGTCAAATTTGGAAGAAAGATGGGATCAGATGGTTACTTCTGAATTAGAAAGATTACAAAAGGAGTTAAAAGCAATGAGACAATTGATTGAGCAATGTGTAGATCCTTCTGTCTCACCGATATGCCTCCAGACCAAACAGGGAGATGACTTACTGGCTAATCTGAAAGCCCTCAAACAGTTTAGTCT